ACACGTACGTGTACACACACACACACACACACACACACACACACACACACACACCAGAGATAAATCAAGCTAACAGCATAAACCTTTGGTATATTAAGATTATTTCACCTGTGTAGTCTTTCTTAAAAAACATCATAACCTTGGGGCTGGAGAGATGGCTCAGCAGTTAAGAGCATGACTGTTCTTGCAGAGGACCTAGGTTTGATTCCCAGCACCCACATGGCAGCTAACCACCATCTGTAACTCCAGTTCCAGGGGGATCTGACACCCTCTTCAGACCTCTGTGGGCACTGTACAACATGGGTGCACTTACACGCATTCAGGCAATATACTCATACACATAAAAATTTTTTAAATCATAACCTTAATCTAACTATAAGAAAAGTACCAGACAAGTCCTAATGGAAAAACACTATAAAAATCCTGAACATTACTTTTTGAAACTGTGAAATCATCAAAACTATGGAAAGTCTGAGAAATCATCACACCTCAAGGAACCTAAAGAAAACAGACAAGTATTTGAAGAAATTATGTCCAAAGACTCCCCAAATTTAACTATGAAGCATATTAATGCACAGAAAGGACAAACACAAAGGAAGTTGTCAAGAGACAAAAAGAATGAGTTTTCTATAATGAAGGAGGAAAGGTATAATGCTACATTCAGGGGGAAAAACAAGTAGAATTAAAGGCAAAATTTTCATAGAAAAAAACAGAAAAAAGCAGAAGATTTAAAATTATGAAAGAAAACCTATAATTCAAAATGAGGGACATTTAAAACATTCCCAGACGAATGAAGATCAAGATAACTCACTGCAAGGAAAATCCCTTACAAGAAACACTGAGGGAAGCAATGAATTTACTGAGCTTACTTAGGGAGATAACCAAGGGGTTGCTAAGGTGTATGAATGACCTGAGGGTATGCACACTGCAAAGCCTTTACACATCATGGGTCAAGCCTTCTTTTCCTAGCCTTCCCCAGATTGTATACTTTAGCCCTCCCCAAATCCAGGAGACCATGTGTGATTAGGGTCAAATTACATACAGTTGGCTCAGAAGAGTGGCTGGATAATCCAGTGAGGGTCCAATGACCCTGCTTGGCCCTCCTTTAATTAAGGAGCACAACCATCAACAAGCCTAATTGTGATGATGTTTAATGATCAGGCACAACCGAAGTTGTGATGATTATAGTTATTTCATGCAGAAGAGACTGCTGTACAGCATCATCTTATTAAAAGGACATGAAATTTAAAAGGATTTGGTGATAGGATCCACAAATGAGGGAGAACATATGTCTTTTATTTTTCTGAGTCTGTGTTACTTCATTTAGTATAACAGTTTCTGGAACCATCCATTTAACTGCAAATTGATTCCCCAGTAAAACTTCAATCATACATTGGCTTGACATTAGAACCATGAAAGGGAGTAAGTGTTGCTTAGTATCCCCAGGAAAGAATTCTTACAACAGATGGAAAGTTTATTTGTTAATGCTATTGTCTCATAATTATTAAAAAAAAGAAAAATGAGAATGTAAAAGATGTTCAAAGAATATGGGAATGGAGATATTTTCCCAAAATAGAAAAAATGAGAAAGTCTAAGCAATTGATGAAGGTCTGTGTAGGTTTGTTTGTTATGATATATAAAGGGTGAGACAAAAATAATATACACATAATCTTCCTTCCCCTCCATGATCAACTAAGTTCCAGGGGACTATGGAACATCTCTCAGAATGTCCTGTAACTGGGGTGAGTCACCTGTTCTCTTGTTCAGGGAGGCCATGGAGACCCCACCAGATAGACTTGAACCAGTGTCCAGTCTACGAAAAAGAGGGTCAACTCAGAGGAAACATCTCCTCCATGGTTCCAAGTGAAGCCAGCCATGGTCGAACAGGACTTTTGACTTATCTTCACATAGATGGAAAGGAGCCAGGCTGGGGCGCCTCCCAAGCCCATGTGACCCCTGAGGAACAGATCCTCAAACGACCTTAAGAGTAAAAATAAATCGATTTATTTGGGCAAACTGTATGGTCTTAAACACCCAAAAGCAAAGTATAACCAAAGAGTAAATTCATCAGTATATTTCTTTAAGAGTTCAAGGGATTACACTTCCCAGACATTAGGCTTAAGTCCATATAAAATGTTATTTAGACAATTATTTCTCATTGATGATTTTGTTCCTATCCAGAAAGTGCTGCTCAGATGTAAGATTTCAAATCTTAGTGTGCAATACTGTAGCGCTCACCTGTACCTAAGGGAGACAACCCGCTACTGTTCTAAAATGATGACCAAATTTGTTTTCTCCCCATATCTAGAAGCCTTTGAGAGGGAACTGACACTGATTCTAACAACTCCAACAATTATCAAAATGCCTGAAAGCAAATCCTGAATTCATCACTCTCGAGTCCAGTCTTGTCAGACAAAAGAAAAATGAGGAGGAACCTAATAAAGGGATGCTTGACAAGGGATGCCCTTGTCAAGAAATTCCAATGGATTCACATATGAACATTTGAAAATTGCCCTGTTCCGATTTTTTTCTAGTTCCCTGTCTAGAACTCGTAATGCTAATTACTCTTGCCTTACTTCTCCTTCACATCTCCTAGTCACGATTCAAGGACTTTCTTTTCCCCCTAGATATAAGATTTATGCAATTTGGGAATCTTTTAGATAAACCCACTGAAGGGGTACCCCAATCGCCTCACTCTGTGTCCCAGTTCAGCATGGAAGAAGCCAGAGCGGTCTGCGTATCTATTCCCTATTGGCAATTTGGGTAACCTCTTCAGAGGATGTTGTGATAAGAATAGGAGGTAGGAATTTGTGTTAGGGTAAAAAGACCCCAAAGAAAAGTAGCCAGTTTCTTGGCTAAAACTCACAATGTCGTTGGGCCTCACACCAACATACTCTGTTCCAAAGGCCAAAAATGTTGAAAGTATTTGGGAGCTTTTATCTAATCCTTAAAATATTTTAGGGTTACCTCTTCAGAGGGGGTAATGCTAAAGTAGCAAAAATCCCCATTAAAAAGAAGAAGAAGAAAGAGTACATGAAGTTATCAGAAAAAAGTGATGGGGAGATATGGAAGGAGTTGGAGGGGAGTGGGCATGGATTTGATCAAAACACCTTACATGTATGTATGAAATTCTCAATAAATTATTCAAAAAAAAGGAAACACTAAAGGAAGTTCCACTGGCTAAAAAAGGCAGGAGGATAATTTAATGAAAGAAATGAAGTCTATCCGAAATCATGAATACATCCCTAGAGGAGTATAAAGGAATGCAAAAGTACTTTTTTACTTTATTCTATTTCCTTAAAAGAAAATACAGGACAGCATAAGAAATAATATAACACTGAATTGTTCTGTTTATGACATATGACATACACAGAAGCATGGCAGGTCACAGTAACAGCACAAGAGGAAGACTTCCAGCTATACTGGAACAAAGTTGCTTTATTTTACCATAACTAGTAATTTAGTTCTCAGCCTCAGCATATTATAGGAAGTCAAGAAGAATACTAAAAGCCAGGAATGGTGGCCCACACCTTTAATCCCAGCCATTGGGAGGCAGAGATCAAGGACAGACTGAGATAGTCTACACAGCCAGTTCTAGGTCAGCTGGGACCACAGCGAGGCTCTGTCTATAAATTAGATGATAGATGATAGATAGATAGATAGATAGATAGATAGATAGATAGATAGATAGATGATAGATGATAGATGGATGGATGGATGGATGTAAGGAGGGAGGGAGCGAAATAAAAAGGAAGGAAGATATTATAATCCAGATAGCAATCATTAAGCAAATAATTAAATAACGAGCTTTAAAAAGTAAAGAAAGAAATAAATGATTCACCAAAAAGTTTTACTTTAACAAAGAACGAATCAGTAACAGTGAACAAAAAGATTGAGACATACACACAACAAATCTAAAATTGGCACAAAGGCTGGCAATCGACAAATGGGGCATCATTAAACCAAAAAGCTTCTGCACAGCAAAGGAAACAATCAAAGGAATCAAGAGGAAGCCCACAGAACAGGAGGGAATTGTTGCCAGCTGTACATCTAATAAAGGATTTATTTCCAAAATAAAGAATTCAAAAGACAAAGAATCACAAAAACAAATGACCCAATTAAAAACCAGGCTATGGGCTGGGCATGATGGTGCACTCAGGAGGCAGAAGCAGGCAGATCTCTGAGAGGCTGAGGCCAGTCTGGTCTCCATAGTGAGTTCCAGGCCAGCTTGGGGCTACAGGGAGACCTTGTCTCAAAAAGACCAAAAAAGAGGGGTGGGCATGTGGACATAAATCTGAACAGAGAATTTTCATAAGAAGAAATAAAAATGGCTAAGAAAGAGCTTTTAAAAATTGTTCAACATCCTTAGTAATTAGAGAAATGCAAATTAAAATTACAATTCCAACTATTTATTTGATCAACTATTTAGTTGATAAGTGCCAAACCAATATCACTTCAAGGGCACAAAGAACATTTTCTAGGATAGTTCATATCTAAGCCTATAAACCAAGTCTTAATAAATATAACAGCACTGAAAATATACAAAAATATTCTTCAAATGACAAAAGATTTCATTAATGAGCAGTAACAGAAAGCATGATATTCCCAAACTATATATATATATACTTTTAAATAATCTATGACTCAAAGAAATCTAAATAACCTATAAATAAAAAAGTTCAATTGATCTAACCTTTATGCTACAAATATCTTGAAAGAAAATTTCTTTTTACTTAAGCTAATCAGAATTGCATTCTATTTTCCTCTACACAAAAACATTTTGAAATTCCAACTTTTGCGGCTAACAGGAAGTTTGAAAAGGTTTTCATTTTGAACACGCTATCAAAATTCTTAGATATTCCCAGGAATTCAGCACATTTCTACTTGTGATTATTTCTAAAATACAAGCATGACATCAAATGGCTTTAAGGCCTGATATAAATATTTGTTATGTGGCAAACTGTTCATCAACATAAAAATCAAGATAGTAAATTAGATACCTGGCTCTTTCCCGCGCTGCATCCTCACGGGCTTTTTCCTTCTCTTGTCTTTGTTGTTCAATTCGGGCTTCTTGCTCTTTCCTCTTCATCAACAATTCTTCTACACGGGCTTGCCGTTCTGCCTCTAGGGCTCTCTTGCGTTCCTAATGTTAAAAAAAATGAAAGTTTATAAGAACTATATATAAAATGAAAATGATCAAAGGTGACTAATTTTGACAAAACTTCATATAGTCTAGCTTATTATCTTCCTGGTTAGCTACTAGGTACACAACTTCTATGAATTTAAACAAAAACAAGTATCAATGATATGAGGTCTTTATGAGAATAAATACTGTTTTAAGCAATTACTAAATTTCCAAGCCTTCTGCTAACATGATCATACGAATGCCTAAACAACAACAAAATATCCCAGTTATAGATTTATTTCTGAACTAAGAAATAAATATAAATATAATACTTTCATAGTGGAATCAAGTAAAGGAAGCTGGTGGGATAGAGAAGGAAACAAAGAACTCACCATGGTGAGTATATCGTGGGCACTGGGCCAGATTCTTTGGCTTTCTTCCCTGACCCCATTATTCACTAGCTGTGACTCTGATCTAGCTAAATTCTTTGTACCTTATCTCTGGAAGATAAATAGTAATACCTGTTTCTTAAAATGTTGTGAAGACCATGTGATAAATAAAAAGCATTTATCACCTGGGTAAATTATCACAGTAAATTATTAATAATCATGATAATGTTGATGATAACATAGGCATTAGATACTTGATCTGAATAAGATAAATTTAGAGTTACCTTACCTCTTCTTCTCCCCTACCCTTCCATCTCTCTCTAAACCTCCTTCCCCTTCATATCACTGTGTTCTACTATCCCCCTTTCCTTAACATCCCCACCCCAATGATTCCTTTCTAGTTTCTTGTATTCTACAGGTCCTCCAAATTAAACACACTAATCTAAAGATTCGACACTAAGATGCACATATGAATGAGAATGTGTTTATCTTTCTGGGTCTAGGTTACCTCACTCAGTATAATGTTTTACAGTTTTATCCATTTACCTGAAAATTTCATCTTTCTTTATAGGGTAATGGCAGTCCATTGTATATCAGCATCTCATTTCCATTACCCACTTATCAGTTGATAGACATGTAGGTTGTTTCCATGTCCTGGCTATTGTGACTAGAGCAACAGTGACCCTGGATGAGACTGTCCCTATAGCAGGAACTAGAAAGAATCCTTTGGATATCCAGGAGTGCTATAGTTGGATCAGCCAGTAGGTCTATTTCTACATATTTGAGTAACTACCATAATGATTTCCACAGTGGCTGCAACAATTTTCATGCCAACAGTGCATGAGGGATCCCTCATATCCTTGCCAGCATTTGTTGTCTTATGTCTTCTTAATCTTAGCCATTCTGACTGGACCACAAATGGGTATTTATATCACACCTCCTCCCCCATAGTTCAGGGATCATTACAGAAGAGGGGGCAGAAAGAGTGTAAGAACCAGAGGTCAGGGAGGAAAAGAGCAAAACAGTGCCTTCTGGACATGATATGACTGCTGTACTCATGAATTCATAGCAGCTGTGTTTGTCTGCACAAGACCTGCACAAGATCAAGCCAGTGAACATTCTACTATGGAGGGATAAGGAGTCCATGAGCCCCTACTCCTGAGGGGCTATGGACAGTTGATAACTTCTGGGGGAGGGAGTCAGTTTTATTTCAGAGTGTGGCTCCTGGTAGGTTGACTATGCTCCAGTGGATGGCCCCACATCTAGGAGAATATAGAACAGACAGCACAGATTGTAGTCAATGAGTTATTAATTTTTAAAATGGACACAAAGTTGGAAGGGTAGAGAGGTGAGGATGTGGGAAGCTGGGGTGAATATGAACAAAATGCACTGTAAGAAATCCTCAAAAAATATGAAGTTTCCTTACACAACAGAGGGCAATGAACACAAAAGGCCACAAATGGACAAAGCATAGAGAATAAGAGTCTTCAGAGGGGTCCCTGGACAGGACTCCTATATTAAACTTCATCCACCAAGGGCTCAGGGACCACTGTGGAAGAGAGGGCTGAAATACTATAAGAGCCAGGGGAGGAGGTGCATGGCCATATGGAAACAGAGTCTTAAAGGCTCCTGCGACCTTGTTCATATGAACCTACAGCAATGGTGTCCATATACACAAGGCCCATGCAAACTCAAGCAGACAAAAATACAGCATAGAACTGGGGAAATGGGCAGAAGGCCCCAATCTTATGTGAAGAACTACTGACAGTTGATTACTGCTAGGCGAGGGAAAGTAGATCTTCTTTAAGGAAGATACTCGAGATAGGCTAACTACACACCAGTGGATGAACTCAGACCGAGGAACATTTGGGTACACTAACTTGACTTGATAGGCCTTAACATACAGGACAGAATATATTTTCTAATGGGTTTGGGGGGGGTTCCAAATGGAGGAGGGGGTATAAAGATGAGTAAGATGTTTTATATGAAATGCACAAATACCCAATAAAAATAAACATGAAACAAAAAAACACTGACCATAACTAACTTTAGAAGGAAAGGGTTTATTTCAGCTTACAAATTACAGTGCATGGTTGAGAGAAACCCAATAAGGAATTCAAAGCAGGCTCTGAAGTAGAAACCTTGGAGGAACATTGCTTACTGATTTGCCTCCCCTGGCTTGTTCAGCTACCTTTCTTATACAGCCCAGGCCCAGCTGCCTAGGATTGGGCTGGGGTCTCTTATATCAATTAGCACTCAAGAAAATGTTCCACAGACAGTCTCACAGACCAAACTGATATAGAGGAAATTTCTCAATAGAGATTCCATCTTCCAGGTATGTCAACATGACAAAAGGTAATATACGGATTTCCATAATAGCCATATTAATTAATCTTCCCACTGATAGTATATAAGAGTTCCCTTTTCTCCACATTCTTACCAGTACTTGTTTGTTTGTTTTTTCCCTCATAATAGGTCTTCTAATTGAGTCAGGTGATATCTCATTGTGATTTTGCTCTGCATTTTACTTCCTTGATGATTCTTGAAGCTGAGCAGTTTATCTTATACATGTTGGCCATTTGCATGTCATAATGTGAGAAATACCCATTTTAGTCTATTGCTCAACTTCTAAATCCTTTCTCTTCTGTAATAAGGCATTCTGGCTACAAACACAATCACATCGTTATAGTCTTCTGTATTTGCATATGACAGTTGTCTAATACTGTGGCTCTTATCCTTGCTGGGTAACCATATTCATCAGGCAGACTGCAATGATAAGTCCCCAATATCATTTAAAATCACTAGTCAACCTTCCTTTTCTTGCTATATTAACTACATTCTATATTTTTATGTATTAACTGATAGATCATATTCTTTAATAAATATTCCTGATAGATAAAAAAATATGATAAACTTCAATATAAACTATGGTGTCCTGTGTGTATCTTGGCTAGCAGCAGCACTTTGCTAATGTTCACCATGTTGCCAGTAGAACTGAGACATTTCTTCCAACCTACTGTAGAAATGGGCGGGAATTTGTTGGTTTGAGGGGAACATATGTGGCATATTACAGACTACTGGGACCATTAAACTAGATTTAAAATATATTCTTTTAAAAAATTTTTCATTTTATGTGTATGGGTGTTTGCCTGCATATATGACCATGTCAATCAGAAGAAGGCATCAGATCCCCTGGAACTGAAGTTATGGACAGTTGTTAGCACCATGTAGATGCTGGGAACGGAACCTGGGTCCTCTGTAAGAACAGTGAGTGCCCTTAACCACTGCGTCCTCTCCCTAGCCCCTGAAGGATATTCTTTGATGTCTGGCATACTATTCATGAACTCCTAGTTATCTCTAATTACTAATCAAGGATAACTGGAAATTCGTTGAGCTATTCAAGATTTCAACTCATAAAACTGAAAACTGAGGCTGGTCAACTTGCTCAGCAGGTATAGGTGCTTGTTGCCAAGCCTGTCAAACTTAGGTTTGATTCCCAGAGCCCACGTAAAGGTAAAAGGAGAGAACAGATTCCATAAACTTGTCTTCTGACCTCCACAGGCACATCATAGCATGTTGTGCCCATATGTATATAAACCATGCACACATACTACTACTACTACTACTACTACTACTACTACTA